CATATATACACACGACTTGACAAAAGGATTGGAAGCCTCCACCAACATCTTGAATGCATTAAATGAACTCATCTTTATCTCTTGTTCATCCGACAAAGTGCAGTTTGCTTTTGTCCTTGCATAAGAAAACAAACGGCTATACTTTGTGGTCCTGTATGGTCCTTCAATCTTCTGGTCCTTCCTTAGTCATGTGTTACAACGTGATACACGCAACTTCCTCTCCACGCTTATACTTGATTTTTGTGTTAATCTTAATCTGCTGAACTCTACAATCGGGTATGGCAATCGGTATCCGCGAAAAATCCATCACCGCGGTGCATCCTCACCGTCTATTGCGACTCATCCCAAAGCCATCAAATGTGTAGAAGGGTGGAATATTTTCGCATCGCCTAAATCGGACCCTAACATTTTAGTAGGTGCCGTGATGGGAGGACCCGATTTGAATGACAGAGCCGACTACATACATCAACGCACCTATTGTTGGTCTTTTGGCTTATTTTAAAGCCAACAAAAATTTCGTATGATTCGTTTTTCTTAAGATTTGTCAAACGAAATTAGGATTATCTAAACTGAGATATATTTGCTTATTAGTACTGTATTCAATACAATGCAATACAGAAGAAAAGAGGACATTTCGGTGTGCTTCAATTCTACATTTTAGGATCAAATTTACAAATCCAAGTATATGAGGCATATTTCATAAATCTAAGAAATGTGTGGGGGACTATTAGTAAAAGAACTAGACTTAGCCCTCGTATTTGACACAACCCATCGTCGTTTCCTCTTCACTCGGACTTCTCAGAAATTTCAAAATTAGTTTTTCTTCTTCCAAAATTAGGGTTTTCTGGGATTCTCGTATTGATAAAGGTTAGTTATTTTCTTAATTTCTTCCTTGAATTGAATTACCCTGTAATCATTGGACTTTAAGCACTGTGTTTTCTGTGATGTTCGCTTCTTCTGCGCTCGAATTTGAGAAATTAGGTTGGTGGTGAAGAAAATGAAGAATTGGGGATTTGATGTTTTCTATAATCAATCATCGATTTAACCTTCTTTTGCTCTAATTGGTGATGAAAAATTAGTGTCTTTTGGTCCACTTTAGCTTCAACTTGTGATTTTTATTCATGTCGAATGGTTTAGATGTTCTGGTGAATCTATGTTATGCCTTAATTTGTTATAATCTGTTATAACATCAAAAGCTCTGGATGTGATTTGTAGCCATGTCTGAACGAGAAGACGAAGCAGAGGTTTCTCTTTTCGTCAAAGACGAGGAAGATGTTTCTCCTGAATGTTTAGCTTGGGCTGATTCTTGCTTCAGTAGCTTTCCAGATGATTCAGATAACAAGAATTGGGGAACTTTTAGAGATGCATTAACCGAAATCATCGATATCCATCCCGAGATGTTTGTTCCTTCATCAACAGGAACAAAAAGCGTCTCGTCTCCAGACGAGGAAATGACTGAAACCGAGTCGAGTGATCTACGGACATTTGAACTGGAAGCTGATTTAGCGAACAGTAATAATGATTTATCGACTGAAGAAGCTAGCGAGATGATCTCGTGGCTAACGTTTGAATCAGACCCATCAAAGATTTCTTTACAAGATCGTTACTTTCTAGAGTCCATAGCAGAGAATGGAACAATCCGTAAACCGGTGGATGCTACTACAGATGTTGAAGGTGTTGAAAGAATAGAAGAAGATGGTTCTGTGAGCGATGGAGAGGCGGAAGAAGAGCTGGAGTCATTATTGTCTCAAGCCTTCAAGGATGATTACATGAGCACATACATTGAAGACAATGTTGACGATTGTTATGTTTTAGAGGATCCGGTTAAAGAAACTCCACAAGAGATTTTCAAGGTGTGGGATTTGGAGGTTGCGGGTGACAATGATGCGGAAAATGGGTTGGTCCTGCAGCTTAAGAAAGAACTTGATGTATCGTCCACGGTCCAGCCCCTTCCGCAGCCACTGGATGTTGATCAAATTGTTACGGAGAAGAGTAGTATCGATGATCTGATAGCTGGGATCTCAGATCTGTCTCTTGCAGAAACTTTTAAGTGAAAGATGAGTTTAATGTTTGTGTTTATTTTGACATTATAAGCTCTCTTTTGCTTTACTACTCCTTAACCGTCACAAACCGGGTTTGACAATTCGAGATCTGCTAGACCGGACCGGAGATGGTTTAATGGGTCAATTTGGTGTTTCCACGAGCCACTTGGCCATCTGTTTTGCAATGGTCTCGACCGTTGATGTAGACTTCACACAATCTCTTAAAATCTCAATATTTAACCTCAGCCTTAAGAAAGCTCAAGGAATCACGTCCTCACAAAGTCTACTCTCTAAACGTAACTTTTAGACGCATCGTTGGCACCAAAACTCTATAAGTGATTTTCAGTAATGGGTTTGATTATGTCTTTCAAATTCTATAAGATAAAATATTTATGGTTTGATTATCATGTGTTATAGAATCAAAAGGTCCTCTAGTACTTACTATAGGTGGGTGTGTAACATCATGAAGATGACGTGGTAAGCTATCTACCGTCTAATTTATACTTTCACTAAAACTCA